TTAATAAAAAAGATAGAGCCTATATCAGTCCATTTTAACACTGCTGTGAACACATATCCAAGACTAGGTAATTTCTAAAGGAAAGAGGTTTAATTGACCTAAAGTTCAGCATGGCTGGAGCGAGAGGCTCCGGAAACTTACGATCATGGTGGAAAGAGAAGCAAACACATCCTTCTTCATGTGGCGGCAGGAAAAAGTGTGATTGCCCAGTGAAGGAGGAAGCTCCTTATAAAACCATCAAATCTCATAAGAACTAACTCACTATCATGAGAACAGAATGGGGAAGCCACCCCATAATTCAATTATCTCCATCTGGTCCCTCCCATGACACATGGAGATTATGGGAACTATAATTCAAGATGAGATTTGGGTGGGAACACAACCAAACTATATCAGTCTGCTCCTGACACTTCCCAAATTTCATGTCCTAACATTTCAAAACACAATCATGCCTTTCCAACAGTCCCCCAAAGTTTTAACTCATTCCAGCATTAAATAAAAAATCTAAACCCAAAGTGTCATCTGAGACAAGGCAAGTCCCTTCCACCTACAAGCCTGTAATATCAAAAGTAAGTTAGTTACTTCCTAGATACAACGTGGGTACACGCACTGGGTACACCCTACAAATGGGAGAAACAGGCCAAAACAAAGAGGCTAAGGTCCCATGCAAGTCTGAAATACAAAAGGGCAGTCATTAAACCTTAAAGTTCTAAAATGATCTCCTTTGACTCCATGTCTCACATCCAGGTCACACTGATACAAGAAGTGGGCTCCCACAGCCTTGGTCAGCTCCACTTCTGTGGCTTTGAAGGATAAAGACCCCTCCTGGCTGCTTTTAGCCAGTGTTGAGTTTCTGTGACTTTTCCAGGCACACAGTACAAGGTGTCAGTGGATCTACCATTCTGGGGTTTGGAGGATGATGGCCCTCTTCTCACAGCTCCACTAGACAGTAGCCCAGTAGGAACTCTGTGTGGGGGCTCCGCCCCACATTTCCCTTCTGCACTGACCTAGCAGAGGGTTTCTGTGAGGGCTCCATCCCAGCAGCACACCTCTGCCTGGACATTCAGGCATTTCTACGTATCCTCTGAGTCTAGGCAGAGCTTCCCAAACCTTGATTCTTGACTTCTATGCACCCACAGGCCCAACTCCACATGGAAGCTGTGGCCTTGCACCCTCTGAAGCCATGGCCCAAGTAGTACCTTGGCCCATTTTAGCCATGGCTGGGACAGATAGGACTCAGGGCACCAAGTCCCTAGGCTGCACACAGTTGTGGGGGAGGGCCTGGGCCCAGCTCAGGAAACCATTATTACCTTTTAGGCCTCCAGGCTTGTGATGGGAAATGCTGTCATGAAGGCTCTGACATGCCCTGAAGACATTTTCCCCATTGTCTTGGTGATTAACATTCAGTTCCTTGTTACTTATGCAAATTTCTGCAACAGGTTTGAATTTATATCCAGAAAATGGGGTTTTCTTTTCTATTGCATCGTTGAGCTGCAAATTTTCCAAACTTTTATGCTCTGCTTCCTTTTGAACACTTTGCTGCTTAAAAATGTCTTCTGCCAAATACCCCAAACTATCTCTCTCAAGTTCAAAGTTTCACAGATCTCTAAGGCAGGGGCAAAATGCTGCCAATCTCTTTGTATAGCAAGAGTGACTTTACTCCAGTTCCCAAGAAGTTCCACATCTTCATCTGAGACCACCTTAGCCTGGCCTTCATTGTCCATACTACTATCACCATTTTCATCAAAGCCATTCAACAAGTCTCCAGGAATTTCTGAACTTTCCCATGTTTTCTTGTCTTCTTTTGAGCCCTCCAAACTTCCAAATCTGCCTGCTACCCAGTCCCAAAGTTGCTTCCACAGTTTTGGGTATGTTTACAACAGAGCCCCATGGCCTGATATCAATTTACTTTATCAGTCCATTCTCATACTGCTATAAAACATACTCAAGACTGGTAATTGATGAAGGAAAAAGTTTTAGTTGACTCACCCCAACATGGCTGGGGAGGCCTCAGGAAGCTTACAATCACCATGGAAGGGAAAGCAAACACATGGCAGCAAACACCTTCTTCACATGGCAGCAGGGAGAAGAAGTGTGAGTGATCAGTGAAGAAGGGAGTCCCTTATAAAACCATCGGATCTCATAATAACTAACTCGCTATTATGAAAACATGATAAACCATCCCCTGATTGAATTATCTCTACTTGGTCACTCCCATAACATGTGGGGATTATGGGAACTACATTTCAAGATGAGACTTGGTTGGGGACACAACTTTGCTCTCTTTTTTTGTATTTCACCAACTGCGGAACATTAAAACACACACACACACACACACACACCCTATGGTCCAAAGTCTCTCTAATGAAATAAACCCTAGCACTTCCCTATAAGAATGTGTTACATGCTGTGAACCACTGACTCTCTGAGTCCTTTCATTGTCCTCTATTAATGTTTATCATCAATATATGGTGTAACAAAATGGATTTTGTTCCTCATCAATAAAAATTACCCAAGTTATATAGCCCTAGAGCACAGAATCAAAATGATCAGAGAAAGCAATTGCTGCTTGTTATACCAAAATCATCCATCATTGCCCCAAAGGGTTCCCAGTACCATCAGCTGCCAAGTCCATACAATACATGAGTCTTACAACACAAATATGGAACATTAATATAAAAACATATATATCTGTGAATCAGGTAGTCATGTTTTACACCATAAGCTGCAATTTTAATTAAAGTTGGCATATTTCTGCTGCTATGATTTAAAATGTTAACTAAGCTGGACAAGGTCTCAGATCTTTAACTACACCCAACCTGTTTGTGATTTTTGGCACTCTGCATTTTAGGTGTGTTATGAAGATGACAATGTGCCAGTCATCCAAGCTGTCAAATGCCTGCTAAAATCTGTTCAGAGCCAAACTCATTTGCACTTGGATGAACACCTCTCAAGAAGCGATTGCTTAAATACCTGCAGTTTCAGGTGCCACTCATGGCTAATAAAACACATTTTGCAGCATACCCAGAATGATTTTTCCCAAAGTGCTGAAGTAATTCCATAGAATAAACCAAGGTAAAGAGTTATAGCAGTTATTAGTACTATAATTATAATGTATCAAACATTCACAGAATAAAGCATTGGGTTTGGACATGTATACAATTAAGTGGTTTAAAACATTTTTTGAAACAACTTAATTAATGTTATTTTGAAACATAATATTAAAAATAGGTCCTCCTTTTGGTGGGAAGGACCCTTTCACACATTGCTAGTAGGAGTTTAAACTGATACAAATTTCTGACAAATATTTCTTAGATACGCATGAAGGTGTTTTACTGTTTGTATACTTTGATCCACAAATCCCAGAAGCAGGACTGATAAAGGTAAAGAAAGGGGGTGAATGTGGTAAAAGAGCCTTTAAGGCAGAGAGGCCCTCATCTGCAAACCACAAAGTGACAAAAGTCTAATATCTTTTCTAGAACCACTAATACAAGAAGGTCTCAGGCACTCAGGAGCTCAGTGCCCACAATATGGGCTCTTCCAAGCAATCATGAAGTTGATATGGAATAGTCTGCCATGTTGCTGAGGTATGACTGTATCTGAATGGGTGGGGGCTTGGGAAAGTCTCTCCACCACTGATTGTGTCAAAGATTATCTTTCATGCAGTAATCTTCATTAGGGATTTGTGGGACTATTCCTATTTTTGGTTATACTTCACTGTATTTTTAAGGGGGAAGATTATATGCTATGATGGTATTTTGAAAATTGATCCATGTTTGTCTTTAGGAGCATGAAGGATCTAGACTAGTTTGATATACCAGTACGCTGCTCTCTCTTTCGCTGTCTCTCTCTCTCTCTCTCTCACTCTCTCTCGTCTCACACACACACACACACACACACACACACAAACACACACACAAATTAGCATAGATTATTTTGGATAGAAAATAAAGTACCTTACAGATAAAACCTTATTTTATGTGTGTGGAGAATAAGTGATCTGTTTCTTAATATATCCATCAGTATAGGCTAAACTGTGCTGAGAGAATCAGCAACAAGGAAATAGTGGCTTAAAATAACAGTTGATTGCACACTTTTATTAAATCTCAGCGAGCACAGAGGTGAGGAAAATGTAGTGAAGCACTCCCTGGTTCTTACGACTTTTAAATGAAAGTAACATATGATTTGTCCTTTCATATTGCATAGGCCAAAGAGAGTCACTAGGTCATTCTTCAATTCAAAAGGGTAGAGTGTTTCATTCTTCTACAGGATCTTAATATATGTAAACAATTACATAGAATTCCATGTTTAGTATTATGAAATGTCTGTCTCACTGCTTTAAAAAAATTAATTATAGGCCAGTCACAGTGTTTCACGCCTGTAATACCAGCACTTTGGGAGGCCGAGGTGGGTGGATCATGAGGTCAGCATGGAGACCAGCCTGGCCAACATGGTGAAACACTGTCTCTACTAAAAATACAAAAAAATTAGTTGGGCATGGTGGCGAGCCCCTGTAATCCCAGTTATTCAGGAGGCTGAGGCAGGAGAATTGCATGAACCCAGGAGGCAGAGGTTGAAGTAAGCTGAGATGGCACCATTGCACTCCAGCTGGTGGCAGAGCAAGACTCCAACTCAAAAAAACAACATATAGCCTAAAATGGTGGCCATAGCTCCTAATGGTTGAAAAGTGCCTCCAGGTAGACATGCATGACCAAGAATGGATGTAGACCCAAAGTGAAAGGAACAATTGAGCCAGGGGCCAGTGCTGTTGATGAAGGCAGCTCTATGAGCCCACAGTTCAGTTAATGACATTGACTAGTAAGGTAGATGGTTAGCATCTGAAGAGAGAAGCCTCAAAAGAGGACAATTTTCAGCCAGTCGCAGTGACTTACGCCTATCAACCCAGTGTGTTGGGAGGCCCAGGAATTTGAGACCAGCCTCAGAAACAGCAAGACCCCATTTTCCAAGAAAATTTAAAAATAAGATACGATGGCAAGCACCTGTAAACTCACGTGGGAGACTGAGGCGGGAGAAGTGTTTGAGCCCAGGAGTTCCAGGTTACAATGAGCTGTGATCGTACCACTGCATTCTCCAGCCTGGGTGATCAAATGAGATCCTGTCTCTACAAAACAAAAGGAAAAACACCACAATGTTTTTACACTAGAGTAGAACAGAGTAGGCACATAGGCATGAGAAGTTAGACATTGTTTCCAGCTTATCCCCATCACACATTTCAGGGAGTTCTGATTTCATTTCAGTCATACAGCTAAGGGAGATCTAGGAAAGGCTGAAGACCAAGGGGAGAGCTTATTTACTGTGGAGTAGAGGCTTCAGTGGGCAGAGTGGACAGTATTAGAAGGGCAGTGACAGTAGGATGGGCAGGGAGAACATGTAGAGTCCAGGGGGAGAGGACTAAAATGAGCAGATGACCAGAGGCTGGCATTCAGAGCATGGCTGAGCCTGCTCAAAGAGAGAGGTTTGGAGCAATTAGCTGGCACCAAGAGTCCGGGAGGAACCCCAGGACAAAGTGGGCTTTTCAGTCCTACACAGGGTAAGATCACAGGAGATCTCATAAGCCTGAGGGAGCTGCAAGATGCTGCGCCCAACACAGGCCTAGACTCCCAGACTGGCATAGCTCACAGGATATTTTCTATTCTCTTTTTTATTTTATTTATCTATTTACTTTTTGAGACAGATTATCTTTCTGTCACCCAGGCTGGATTGCAGTGGTGGATCTCAGTTTACCAAGACCTCCGCCTTCCGGGCCCAAGCAGTTCTGGTGCCTCAGCCTTCTGAGTAGCTGGGATTACAGGCATGCACCACCATGCCTGACTGACTTTTTTATATTTTCAGTAGAGACAGGGTTTCATCATGTTGGCCATGCTGGTCTCAAACTCCTGGCCTCAGGTGATCTGCCTGCCCTGGCCTCCCAAAGTCCTGGGATTACAGATGTGAGCCCTAGCACCCGGCCAGATCACATGATATTTTCTTACTCATCCCACAAATATAGACTTAGGCCCTGAACACACTGGGGAAAACAAGAAAATCCCTCAGCTAATGACAATTAAACTGTCTCTCGATATTTCATTTTAATCTTTCAATCTAACTCAATTACATCCATATTTTATCTCTGCAAAAGAATTTTCTATAAGCATCTTAAAATCTTCATAGAAAAAAGCATAAGGAGAGAATTGGGGGAAAGCTAGTTTAAGAAAGAAAAGCAATTTCAAGGTTAGGGAACATGGCAGAGGAAAAGATAGAAATAAAGGTGAGAAACAAAAACGTAAAAGTGAAAGATTCATACATTGGATAAAAGTGTTAAAAATGAGGTAGAAAATTTTTTAATTTTTGGTCACGAAAAGCAGTTGCAGAAACTTCGAGGAGAGGAATAGTGTGATTGCTACAGCGGACATAGCTGAAAACTATATCAGCAAGAGCTACTTAATTTTTTCCTCTGTTTTTAATCCATGGAGAATTAAAGGTATTATTATGTGAAGTGTTCCTTTTTTCTTTAGTTATAGTATGATTTCTTTGAACAAAAGATCTCCCTCCCAACTGCATTAGCTGGTGAAATGCAACCAAATATTTTCTTCAGGACTTTGTTGCATGGCGCCTTTTGTATAACTCAATGGCTTTTTTTTTTTTTCTTTTTTTTGAGACGGAGTTTCGCTCTTGTTACCCAGGCTGGAGTGCAATGGCGCAATATCAGCTCACCACAACCTCTGTCTCCTGGGTTCAGGCAATTCTCCTGCCTCAGCCTCCTGAGTAGCTGGGACTACAGGCACATGCCACCATGCCCAGCTAATTTTTTGTATTTTTAGTAGAGACAGGTTCCACCATGTTGACCAGAATGGTCTCGATCTCTTGACCTCGTGATCCACTCGCCTCGGCCTCCCAAAGTGCTGGGATTACAGGCATGAGCCACCGCACCCGGCCCACTCCATGGCTTTTAATGCCAACAACACAAGCAAACATCCCTCCTTTACCACCACATAGTAAACTAAGGATAATATGTTTGTCATGGAAGGCAAAGCTGTATTTAGTTGTTTTTATCTTCAGTTTAATATTTAGATGGTAAAAAATACTCATTTACTTGTGAACTATCATAAAATAATTCCTTTATGATCCAGAAATAATTTTATTTCTGAAAAGTTTGAAAAGTGTAGACTCTCAATCATGTACTCCACATTAATTTAGCAGATATTCAGAGACCACATACCACATGTCAGGCATTGTTGTGGGCACTGGGGATATGTAATAGAAAACAAAAACAGAAAGAAAATCCCTGTCTTCTTTCTATTTACATTGTAGTGAAGGAAATAAATATAAGCAAGATTAAAATGTGAAAAACATAGTGTTAGTGATACTTGCTATGGAAAAGATAAAAATAAAGAAGAAAAGAGAGATGAGAATGGAAGGGTTGAAACTTCAGATATGGGGTAGCCAGGGAAATAATCACTTTTGGATAAGTCCTGGAGGAAATGAGGGAATAAGTTATGGAGCTAACTGGAGAAAGAGCATTCCAGGAAAGAAGTAGCAAGTGCAAAGGCCCTGGCCAGAAGGCTGCCTGGTGGCTTGAAAAACAGTGATCGAACTCTCTGGCTAAAGCAGAGAGAAACAAGGGAGAGTAATAGAAGACAAGGGCAGGAACAGAAAAGAACCTGGGATGTAGATCACAGGAGGCCTTATAAAAGTGAGGATGGTGGCTTCTGTTCTAAGTGAGATCAGAAGCCAGTAGTGGAAGCATGATGGGATCTAGTGTATGTTTTTCAGGATGACTCTGGCTTCTGTGTTGAGAATAAGGTTCAGGAGAATAAGGCTAGAAGCAGAAAAAACAGTTCAGATGACTACAGCAATAATCCAAGCAAGAGGTGATTTTTGAATTTTTATTATTCCCAGGCAATCTTTGGTTTGAATATACTGCAGAACAGTAAACATGACTGTATAACTTAATAATCAACATTCTTATCTTAATCAATAGGAATAATTATGATTATCCTACAACTTTTAAAATTTTTCTCACAACATTAGAAACTCTCTGTCTGTTAAAATGTATAGGGAAATGAAATACTAAAAATACTAAAACAATTATTTATTTAGGACACTGTAATTTGAAACATTAGAAAATTAGTGCTTTGTTTCTTTGTAAAAAACATAACAAGTTGTTTGAACAGTTCTTACCTTTTTAAATTTGCCATGTAACTTACAATAATGAGCAAGCCTATTTCCTATATGCCTTGGTGAATTATTACACTTCTATCTAAATTTGGGTCAACTTTCAACATTTAATGTTTGTACTTTTAACATTATGAAGTACTTCTGAGAGTTTAGTGTGCAGTTATTTCTCTATCATTTCCTCTAGGACATCTTCATCCTTTTTATTACAACTGCTTTCTTCATTTTTGTTGGTAAGTCCATCTGAACGAAGTCCTTCTGGCTACAAATCTAGAGTCTCTTGAAGTATGGTAGCACCTACATTCCCATGGATAAGTATTTCTTCTATAACTTTTGATTTGCTGATTTACATTTGATTTGCATTTTACTTCCACTATTATTATCATTTTGGGGTTTTTTGGTCACACTTTCATCTTTATGTGTCAATTTCTTCTTTCAATTACCCATTTTTGTAAAATGTCATGTATACTTATCACTAAGAGACAAGGAGTCAACACAACTGCACACTTTGCTGTCTGGGAATTACAGACGTGCTGTGACAAGTCACTGACAAGCTCTGAAAGAAGTTACATGATTGGTCATTGATTATGATGAGCAGCTATTTTTTTTTAGAGATCTATGAACTGAAGAGCTAGTATTACTCAGTTAATATATTGTGGTAGCTGAAATTTGAGCCACGTTGCTGGTGAGTAGGTACTTTTTAAACTGTGGTAACTGAAATTCAAGCCTATCAACCACAAAGTGAAGATGCCCTATATGATGAAGACAGAGACAGTGGAGTTTTTTGGAAGTGGAATGAGAAATGGAGTAGCATGTCACAGACGCAGTTTTATATCTGCTAGTGATATAGATTATCTAATACTGACTGCCCCTCCTGATAGCAAACTCCATGAAGGCAAGGACCACACTTATCTTTGCTCATTATTATAACTGATGCTGCACTTTCCCAAACAATGTCACTTTAAGTCTCACAACAACCCCAAGCAGCAGGTATAATCTCATTTTGCAAATGAAGAAACTGAAATTCAGAGAAGTTAAATAACTTAGCCCCATTTCACACAACTAGTGAGTGACAGATTGGGACTCAAATTCATATCTGCTGAAGTTCAATTCTCCTTCCTTTGAATCACATACTCCTCCCTAATAAAAACATAGTCCTATAAAGCTTTGCTCTGGAAACAATAGCGTCATGTTTTCTACACCATAATGAATGATCATATGAAAGCTGTAGAATATAAATGACAGCAGAAGTAAGACAAACACAGTGCATTTGAATCTCCTGTCTGTATAAATATCCTACAAGTTTCCATTTAATTCTGTTCTTAACCTCATGACAAGGATTTACAAAAAGACAAAATGTGGCAACTACACTGACTGAAGGCAAAAGAGCACATCTTACTCTTCAAGGAATTTCCAACGTCTCTGCAAACAATAAGGAGGAGTTAAGAAGTACATTCCAGAATTGCTCAGACTTTATGAATCAGAATGTTAAGAACAAAGTACCTGCGAGGTAGAAAAGGTTTTGATTCACATCACTGAACACACCCCTGGGTGCATTTACCAGAAATCCACCTCTGTTCTCCAAAGCAATTATTTTCTAATCAGTCAACATCTTTCTCTTCCTTCACCACTTCTGAGGCTTTTCTTTTACCATTTGCATCCAGATACCTTTCCTCTCAAGATGCAACAGTATCACTAATCAAATGCACAGAGCGGTTTGAGGAAAACTTACTGATCCCAATACAATGACTAAAGAGGCTATTGTCTTGGCTATTTTAACATTCAAGTTAGTCCGTCAGAATGTAAAATCATTGCTTTGTTACTAGCATATTATTTTAGCAAAGAAGATGCTTAGCAAACATAATCACTTCAATTAAGTGACACTTTCACTCTTTTTCATTTTAATATGACATAAATTTTTTACAAGTATATGTTACTTTTAGAACT